AGGGGGCTGAGCTCATGCGGGAGAATCTACCGGCAGATACTGCCGTGATGAAACGCCATATCATGGATTATCAAGGATAATTTCTGAAACAGTATGGAGCTCAAAGGCTTTCTCTCTTGCCGGTTATACCACAAGGTGAGTTCCTTTTTATTTCCTGCTTCTTCACACACATGCTCTCCAGTACAGGTTAGCTCTGAGTGTTAGCGATGCTAATGTAAACACCGACCATATTACGTCCAAAAAAGTCGGGCATTGTTTCTGATAGCAACGTTTCTGATAGGGCCGTGGGTGTAAAGCCAGCCTACATTTTCGATATTACGTCATATCGGATGCAAATCTGGATCAGCTCCGTTGTAGCCCCGTTTTAGAGATTTGGGTCCGGAGGAAAGAGAGAGGGTTTTATTTTCTGACGCTGCGTGAGTTCCCGAGCACACGGGGAACATCTTTATGTATAAAAGACTCAGAAAGTGGCATTTTGCAATGATAGGTCCCTTTTAAATTAATTGCATTATTATTTGCAAATATAATCCTAGAATCCTCACGTTTTGATGTTACAGAGCTGGAGCAGCTTCAGCACTAGGCTGGATGGCGGACGACTTGGACCATTTGTCCCCACACCGCCTTTTCATTCCCTCCTCCACCCTGTTGTTCCATGGCCCAACCAATAACACGTNTTAAAAAAAAGATTGAAAAAAAAGAGGAGGGGGCTGAGCTCATGCGGGACCCGGCAGCTTCTGTCTAAACTAAATGCTGCCGTGATGAAATGCCATATCTGATATGGCATTTCATCACGGCAGCATTTAGTTTAGACAGAAGCTGCCGGGTCCCGCATGAGCTCAGCCCCCTCCTCTTTTTTTTCAATCTTTTTTTTAAGCTTTATACCCCAAATCAGCACTTTTGAAACAGGAAGTGAAATAGAGGGATATGAGGCATGGCTAGAACGGGTGATCTGTTTGGTGTTTTGAGCAAAACGCTTCATAGGCGTGTTATTTACATATTTGTATAGATCTGAGACCTATGCTATTGCCTAAAAATAGCATGATAGGGGACCTTTTAAGAATATTCATATTTCTTAGTTTATATTCTATAATTCATTACATTCTATTTCGCTGTAAATTACTGCTTTATTACTTTATTGCTATTTAACTGTATTTTATTACAGTGTCCTTGAAGATTTTTTTGTTTTATATGGAGATTCTTTTTTTTATATTTTATGTATGTACCACGACATCAAGTCAAATTCCTCGTATGTGTGAACGTACCTGGCAATAAACCTGTCTCTGATTCTGATTCTTTAAGAACTCTTTGTTGGTTGATAAAATCCCAAACTAAACGATCATGGGCAGAGAGCTATGTATATCTATCTCATTGAACCAGATACCTCTCAATACATTTTCTTTAATATATGGGCGCATTCTGCATATACAACTTCTCAATGCTTTACCTTTGGCTCGCGGCCTTCTCCCTCTCTAAGCTCTGGAGGACGTTGTGGGCCAGCAGCTCTCCTGCTGTGGGAGTATGGGTGATGTCCAGAGGGGCTGCTGTTGTCTCAGGGGCCAGACTGTCGAATAACCTCTGTCTGATGGACAGACTGCTGGGGGGGGCACTCGCAGCTGCACCCGCCCTGTGGATGAAGGAGGAAGGAGGAGAGAGCAAAGAGGATTGTGATTATGAATCTGGGACGTGGTGACTTGCTGCTTCAGAATCAGGGTATTTGATTTATCCGTGGGTAAAATTGGATGTTGTGCTCCGTTTTAGCATGAAATAATTAAAAGATGAATAAATGATTAATCTTATTTATATAAGATAGAAAGATTCAAATTAAATAAAAATAAAGATATGTATACAAAAATAACAGGTTAAAGTAAAATGTCCAATAAAAAATAAAATTCAAATAAAGTATGCAAAAAATTATTCATATAAACATTTGAAGTAAAAATTGTGCACATTCTATTACAATATACAAAATGTATATGACAACTCCTGTTTATATAATATTAATAATAATACATCGTAATTATAAAGCGCTTTTCCCAGTGCTCAAAAACGCAATCAGAAAAGAACAAAAATAGAAATCCTAATCCAACAGGAGGAAAAGGGCGGGCAGTTGAGGGTAAGAGGTTGAAAGTAAGATATATGTGCTTTGAAATCTAGAAATCTATAAGCACCTCCAGAAAACAACTTGACTTGACTTGCCGTCTTGTTTCTACACGGACCACTATTGCGGTAAGCATGTTGTAACTTCCGGTTGTTGTTGTCATCTCCGGGTATCCCGTGTGCCTGTTCTGTTGCTGATAGCTTATTATCTTAACTTAATCGATCGTTTTAAAACTCTTGATCACGGCAACTGCCTGACGTTGTAATCACACGTTACTACAGCTTAAGCACTCACAAACTCTCCTTCTCTTAGCGACTGTAACTCCACAGTTGCCTACACTCTTTTCGGGTTTGCTAAAACTTCGGTTGGTGCTTCTATAGTATTATATTCTCGACTCTACTCGCGGGTATCTAGGGGCTACACAGACTCCGGATAAATGGTGGTACAGTACAAAACACTAAATTGGTCCTCGGCAGAGACCGGATACAAGATGACATTAAACAACCTGCAGCATTAACGCCCTAGAGTCTCCTTCGCACGTCAACACAATGGTCCCTGGGGGACGGCACTTTACTACGGTTAGAACGTTATGTTTTTACGTGAGTTTAAGCAGCGCGCGATTTACAATATGTCGTGTCTCGAGGCGAGACGCCGTTGATTTTCTGATTTACATGTTCTTCAGAATCGCTTAGACTTCTCTACTGACGTACTCCACAGTTATTGTCACCAGGATTCACCCGCCAACGCGATGTGAGAGAGATCGCTTGCTACCCTGCGTTTCTATATACGGGAAAATTCTCCTTTCACAAGTCTAATATCGTGCGATGTCAACGCACCCTGGGTACCTGTACGTAACCACAACCCTTTATCGAGACTATTACGTATAAATCCCAGTGTTAATTTACGAGTAATAAAAAAAATACACGAAACTTTATCAACCCTTTTTGTTGAAGAAAATTTGTCGTAATCATGACCGATAAGTGCTCTGACATGTCCCGCGAGAGATTCTGATTCTGGGTGCAAAACTACCAAATCTTTCCTTTAGTAACTTAAAATTAACAAGTATAAACCACAAATCCGTTCGCGGACTTTTACGATAGATGATGACCAAAATATTTATTCGCTATCAATCACGAAACTATTAATTACTCTTGAATGCAAAGCGACCAAAGCAATTCTCGCCAGTCAACTCCTTAAAATAGCCATATCCACAAAGATTCCACTCTGCTAAATGTACCTCTACGCGCGACTCACTCATCCACAGGAGCCTATAGCTAGACAGTATACACGTGAGTAATTAAACCCAAATATAGATTCTCAACGTGTGATTAATAACGTGCCATGTTCATATCCAGTGTCTATTTTACAGAGGATGATAACTTTGTTTGTCCTCTAACCGCATGTATGCTCCGTAAGGGATGGCTTTGTCCACAAGTCCTGCCTGTTGTCATGACAATCTCGAGAGACAGTCCATGGACCGATTGGTCACGATTTCTTTCTAATGTTGACATTGAAACGTATTCTTATTATTTAGAATAACGAGTAGATAATTACTTCTCCATTCGTTATCTTCTACAAAACTCTACTGTTTCTTACTAATCACGTGCAATTAGAGGACGAGTAGGCGAATAATGCGTCACTAATCCGTATACAATTTCTTATATGTCAGATAATACATCTCTAATCTGTTATTTTACATAGTGCAGGATCTTGTAATTATGCTCTTAACGTTATATGAGGATTCATAAGTTTTTATCTTCATAAATACTAAATTCTTCACTGCACTGTTAGAGAGTATCTGTGCTACAGTTGTTCTGCAATAACGAATAAAACACGACCACCTAAGATTTTCATGTTGTTCAGTAGTAGGCTACTAAACTCAGCGTTTATCAAGTAATAACAACACTAGAGATAAAAGAGAGCGACATTATAGAGTTGCCGTCAGTTGACTACAGCTATTGAACCAATAAGCGTCGCCGTAGTTATAGGACCATCGTTTTTAGTGGAGTGTTTTATGGATATACGCTGGAACGGTTATAAACCCCTACCCCAGGCATCGATAATTTCATACATTATTCTATAAGGAGGGTGATTGTATCTACTAGAGTTAAAACGATAGGCTATTTCATTCTTTATTATAACTTGTTTCTATATACCTACCTGTCTAGAAGAGGAATTACGATCCAAGTATACAGTGGCCATTATTTTTGTCTAGTCCTAAAGACGATGTATCTGTCTCCTTTGTCGAACATAATACCGAATTAACTGACTATTCTAATCATAATCAAGATTCATTTCAACAGTCTACTCGAATCGCTATTAGCTGTTATACACAGAATATCTTCGGGCCGAGGCCTTATTTCGTCTCCCTCACAATTCTTTTACTCCACCTACGCCTTATTCCACAGAGAACCCGCTCAAAGCAAGTAATTAGTTCATTCTTGCGATGTTTATTTTAGTATTAGGATGAGTAGGTATAGAAAAAAATGGACTAGTAGGAGTGGTTGTGCTCAAGCTCGCATTATCAACGCGTAAAGTTATGGTAATTAGTCTGTTGGCGGTACTCACACTAAGCTATGTCGACCCAACCAAATAAA